ATTTACAGAGCAAATTCACTTTCCATACAGCAGTTCACATACACTTTGCTCATGACATTGACCACAATTTACCACAATGCATCAGCTCCCCTCCCACTTCCTCCCCATAGTTACCTCTTCCCTGTGTCCATCCCTCCATGCACTCCTGCCCCCTGAGCTGTCTCCCTGTGCATAAACAGCCCTTCTTTCTCCCATGATTGTTCTCTCCAAGGAGTATATCTACCTCAGGTAAATGTTCAACTCATATGCCTGTCTTTTATTTGGCTAGAAGCCATAAGTGTAGGTTCAATTCCAGACCTGAAGTGCAGCTAGGGACCATAGTCTCAGTGGTTCCACCAGGCTCTATCAGACCAGCAAACCTGCCCCACCATCTTTTTTTTTTCCAAATGATTTTGAGTTTTGTTCTACATTTTTCTCCCTCTCTATCCACAATCTCCTACATAAATCCCCCTCTGAGTGGTTGATGGTGGTAGCTGGGCACCATCTAGTTCTTCTGGTCTCATAATCGTATAGGCTGCAGATTGCATGGTGTACCAGTCGCTAGGACTAATTGTGTCCATGAGTCTTTGGTTTTCTTCATTGTTCTTTGCTTTGGATGAGGAGAGACCCATTGTTGCATCTAGATGGCAGCTTGCAAGCTTTAAGATCCCCGTCGCTACTCATCAAAGTAGGAGGTGGAACATTGTTTTGTGTAGTATATTATGCCAATTGACCTTGACATTCCCTCTGACTCTGGTCCCGTGCTCACAGGTTCAACTACTTGGTCTCTCTGGGTAGCTGGCTGTGACCATGAAGTGACTACATCCTTGTCCCTTGTCAGCTCTACTATACACCTGGGAGTTCTTACTGATCATACAAATACACTTATAGGACCATTGTCTGCCAACCATATACATGGTCTTGGGTACACAACCTGCTTCATTGTTGTTATTGTTGGTATGTGCCGTTGAGTTGGACCCAACTCATAGTGACCCCTCCTTGGGTTTCTGAGGCAGAATCACTACGGAAGTAGATTTCCGCATCTTCCTTCCAAGGAGTGGCTGGTGAGTTTGAACCACCAGCCTTCTGATTTGCAGTCAAGTGTTTTTAGGCATGCCTAATAGTTCAGCCTGTCCATCCATCTATCTACCCATCCTGTATCCTGTATGTAGTTTGTTGAGCTTCTTGGATGGATATCTTTTCATCTTTCTTGATATTGAGGATATTTTTTTGCTGGCAAGTATTGAACAGTTTTCTCTGTGTCCGCTCCTCCCCTATGTTCTGAAATTCCAAGCATGGGTTATGCTAGTCCTTTTTGGTATCATCCCTTACAACCCTTAGGGTTTCTTCATTTCTCTTCCTTTTTTCTGAATTAAGTTGGTGTCAAGGGATTTGTCTTTTAGCTGGGATGTATGTTCTTCAAGCAGTTTGACACTACTCTTTCATTCTGCTAGTGTGTTATTTCTTTGTGTAATTTTAATGCTCATCTTTTTGATTTTTAATTGTTCTTTCTCTATGATTTCTAATTGTCTACTTCTTTTGTCATTTTGCTCCTATGTGATTTTCCCGAATTTTTTAAGAGTATATATATATATTTTTTACTGTTGTCTTTTGTTTGCTTCTTTTTATGGTTTCTTTGAACTGCTGGACATGTGTATGTGTGTGTTTGTGTGTATAATTTTGAATCATGTAGCTCTGTTTCCTCTTCTTCATTAGGGAGATTTCCTGGTTCTGTATTTCTGTCACTTGCTTCTGCTATTTTGTTTGTTTCTTTGTTTAAATTGAAGTTGTCTGTTGTCTCCAAGACATTTTGAAGTTGTCTTCATTTGCTTAATATGTATTACTTTGTTTCACCCTGTTTTATTGTTTTGATATATCCATATGTTTGGCAGATATCCTTCTTTGGTTATTAGCTTGACAGAACTGGGGCACTCCTTAGCTGTCTGTGGATTCGTGAAATAACTGGTGGGAATATGGGTGCAGGTCTCTGTTTGTTGTTAAGAGGATGAGCAGATGTTGTCTACCGTGTGTCATTGATCTTATAGTGTAGGTGCTGTAATGGTGCTTGTCCGTTGTGTGAGGTGGTTATTACAGTAGATTTAGTTGATTAGCAGACTTGGGAGCTCTGGTGGTGTAGTGCCTAAGACATTTGACAGGTAATGAGAAGGCTGGTTGTTCAAACCCACCAACCACTCCTCAGAAGGAAGGTTGGGCAATCTATTTCTGTAATGATACCGCCTTGGAAACCCAAGTAGGGGTCACTAAGAGTCGGATATGACTGCATGGCAGTGCGTTGGGTTGTTTGTTAGTGGAGACATACTATTCTTCTCCGTGAATTCCTCATTCTGTCTATGCTGTGTCGTTATTGCCATGTGGGTTCTGTGAAGTTAGCCCCACCCTACCCCCATTCAGTGTGTCAGCCTTCTGCATTAAAAATGGCCACACTTTGGCCATTTATGTCTCTTGTCTCTCCTCAGTTACTGCCCTCTCTTCAATTTCTTGTCCCATCAACACTGACTCTACTTCTTCTCATTTGATGCTCAGAATTCCTGGATTATTATTTGCATTTCTTTGTATTAGGCTTTTTCTGGGTCTCTGTGTAAAACAATTGGGTGGAGTGTATTAGTAGGATGCCATCTTGTCTCTCCACCTCCTCTTGTTAAAACCTTTTAAAATCTTTGCTTACATGATAGATGAGAGAAAAAAAAAAAATCTTACTGTGGTTTTATGCATTTCTGTTATGAGTAAAATTGAATCCATTTTAATGTTTTAAGGTTCTTTTTGTATGTTATATGATCATTTTGTTTAGCTTTTGAATTTTTGAGTCTTAGGAAGTCTTTGTATATTAAGAATATCAACTCTTTGTAATATGATCCATTTAAAAAAAAATCAATTTATTAGCTTATTTAGCTGCTGCTTCTTTTTGTATATTATTTAGAAAATATTGTGAGGTGATGGGAAAATTTCCTCATGTTTTTCTTTTCTTCCTATATTTTTATGCTTACATTTTTGATCCATCAGGAGTTTATTTTATTGCAAGTGATGAAGTGATTGAACTTAATTTCTTTCTGTTAAGAATCTTTGGCAAAGGATAGAGGAATTATAGGATGCAGAGATGTAAATGATTTTTTTTTATTTTTAAAAAAATAATTTTTCAGTTCAAGTTTGCTGTGCATCTGTTTTGATTGGAAATGTTGCAAGATATCTCTGTGTAAAATGTTCAAGAGTTTTCCAGATCAGCTTCTGTCAAGGACAGTTTGTTTCCTAAATCTGTTTCTAGCCTTGTCAACAGCTTAGTTTCTATCAGGAATAGAAGGAGTCTCTAGGTGGCATAATTGGTTAAGTGGTGGACTGCTAACCATAAGGCTGGCAGGTCAAACCTACCCAAAGGTGCTACAAAAATATGACCTAGCACATTGCTTTCAAAAGGTCACAGGCTTGAAAATTTGCACACAGAGAGTTGCCATGATTTAGACTCGGCAACTAACTACAAGAAGAAGCAAGAATACATTAAATGATTAGGCTCAGTAGGTTAAAAGTATACACAATTTTGAAGCAGCAGTAAGAAAACAGTAACACAGATGCAAGTTGTAGGTTCGCTGAAAGGAAAAAGGTGTTGTCTAAGCAGAGTCAGCTAGTGGGTTCATTTTCCTTATTTTCAAATACGAAGATTCAGGGGTATCCCAGTTGATGCCTTTTATGTGTTGTTGTTTTTGTTGTTCTGTGCCGTCGAGTTGGACTTGGCTCATGGCGACCCCTCCTTGGGTTGCCGAGGCAGTATCATTACAGAAGTAAATTGCCCAACCTTCCTTCCGAGGAGTGGCTGGTGGGTCGAACCACCAGCCTTCTGGTTAGCAGTCATGTACCTTAGGCACTATGCTACCAGAGCTCCTTTAGTTATATTTAATGGAAAATCAAGGTTAAGCAAAAGGCAAATAAGCATGAATATATATAATGTTAGTGTTGGTTGATGTAACAGTAACACGGCCATTTTCTAAATAACCACTTGTATTACTGACATTCTCATAGATCATACAGTTTTCACTCCTTTACTAGTTAATAATTTTATTGTCATTATGAACATCTGCAATTTAAATAAGTATATAAATTTTGTCTCCTTTTATTTGATATAATTGTCAGCATCTTTTAGCTTGTGACACCTAACTTTTTTTCTTTAAAGGACCATAAGGAAACCTGTCTTGTAAGTCCCTCTCTGAACACCTGTGCAAAGATGTAAATAACAGTTATTACTGAGGAGAAGGAAAGATGGGTGTAATAGTTGTTGTTGTTGTTATGTGCTGTCGAGTTGGACCTGACTCATAGCGACCCCTCCTTGGGTTTCCGAGGCAGTATCAGTACGGAAGTAGATTGCCCCATCTTCCTTCTGAGGAGTGGCTGGTGGGTTTGAACTGCCAGCCTTCTGGTTAGCAGTCAAGTGTCTTAGGCACTATGCTACCAGAGCTCCTGGTGTTAATAGTAGAAGGTATGAAATTGAGCAGGTCCATGCTTATCTTTCTGTGAATTATGATCCTTGTTAACTGTGCCTCTCATTGTGTTTGGCCTGGAAGACTTTTATATATAGTGTTACCCTTTCAAATTTTCTGTTGACCTTTCTTAAGTCTGAGATAGCAAAAGGATATGAATAAGAAAAGCTAGCTTTTAAAAATATTTATTTTCATCTCTGTAACTCAGGACTTTGAGAAGATAAACCACTTACAAATAATAAGTAATTGTTGAAAAGTCACCTTCCTTTTGATTATTTGGGTCACAGGGCCTAAGGCAGTGGGAGGGATCGATGGTGTCACAGGTGCTGCAGTCAGATGCAATGAGTGTACTGTATGTGATTTCCTGTCTACCCCAACTGTAATTAAACTAGCATGTGAAATAGTCTGTGGTGCAGCATGATCACATATCACTGGTGTTTCAGCGACACACCTGAGTGTACATAAATACACCTGAATCACCTTAGCATTGGTGTTCTTTGTTTCATGCCGTGAGCTTTGAATTGTTTTGGATACAAAATGGAGACTGAAAGTGAGAGTAGCACTTCAGGAGATGACAGTGTCTTTTGGTTGGATTCCGAAGTGATAGCCCAGGTGTCTGACAGCGAAGAGGAAGGAAGGGAAGAAGACTTCAGGTAATTACTGAATTTTCAACTCTCTTGCTCTTGTCCTTTGTCTCTCTCTCTTTCTATATTCTCTTTTAGTCTCTTTTCCATTAAGACTTTATTTATTTAGGGAAAATTTGGAGCTGATGGGAAGAGGTCCCAAGTTGTATATTATTACCTTATAGTACTCTTCATTCTACAGCTTGCCCTGAGCTTGTAAAATGCATTTAAAATGAGTTGGAACACGAGGAAGAAAAGGTGTTAGACAGGTTTTGTAGTAGAATTTCAGGAATTTCAAGTACAGACTCATAAAGAACTACTGTGCTTTCCTGTATCTCTCACTGGAATATATACTTCCTAATAGATACGTATTTTCTTAGAATGTGTTTTGGGTTTTCTGTTGTTGCCATTTTCATTTGTATGAAGAATTTTGATTAAGTCCAAATTGGCTATTTCATGGCTTTGAGACTTACTACTTGTCTCTGACTTTATATTTCATCTCTCATTCTTGGTTTGTGCCTAAGACATTTGATTGCTAACCAGAAGGCTGGCACTTTAAACCCACCAGCCACTCCTCAGAAGGAAAATTGGGCAATCTACTTCCGTAGAGATACTGCCTTGGAAATTCAAGGAGGGGTCGCTATGTGTCGGAAACAAGTTGAGGGCAGTGAGTTTGTTTGTTTGTCTTCGAAGCATAACTTCAGAACTCAAGTTTTCAAAGAATACCACCTGATTCAGAAATCTCAAAATTCAGGGGCATTGATATGGAAAGAGATCTTATCTAGCTTGTGGAAACAGTGCCAATTGTTTATTAATTCTGCTGAAGTTACACATTTTAGGAAGTTTTTTTCCTAGCTTCTCTTTTTCCATACAATATTAGCAAATTAAAACTTAGAGACATGAAAGAAGGGATTGAAAATTAGGAACTATTGATAACCCACACATAATTTGCTAATCAATAGTTAAAATGAATAAGAAGTACTTTCTAAATTTTAAAAGAATTTAATGCTCAAAAGTATGAAAATGAACTGTTAGCATATAATTTTTTTTTTTTTTATCTCAACTTTGTCATTCTCCCCATAATTTTCATTAGCTTTTCTAATTTGAGAAAGCCACTTCTCTCACACGGTATACTGATGTTATACATATTCCTTATATTATGATGTGGTCAATATGTTGCTAACAATCAGTGAAAATAAGGTATGTTTTATTTTGCTTTGTTTCGTATTAAACTTGTTTGGGCTGAGATAAGATTGTGTAAGCTATTTTGGATATTTTTCTCTTTGGAGTATATCAGACTCTATCTTCTGTTACAATGGATTGTGTACTGCTATATTAGATTTGACTTGTTAGGCAGCAAGAGTCTGTCAGTGATTTCTTATTGATAGTTAAACATAAAAGCAAATATTTGTAAGATTGAGCTTTTTCTGTGGGGTATGTAGCAGTATTTTCATTCTGAGAAACTGAACCAGTGGTTGCATTATTTTATAAAACCATTGTATCAAAGGACATTTGTCCTGTGTTTACAATTGTATTTCCTATCTGAATATCACCATGCTCTCCCAAACGAACTATGTGTTTGAGATTTTTATCTTATACTGTTTACAAAAAAAGCAGAGATAAGGTAAGGCCAAATTTTATGTAGTATTTCTCACTCATTCAGCAATAAAGCATGAGGAAATGTGGTAGCAGTGTGCTTTCACAACCCTGCAGTGTTCTAGCTGAAATGCCTGCCATAAAAATGTGCATGTGGGTGTTGAAGGTGAAGGGTTGGATAGTAGTAAATGCAGCTGTAACTTGAGAGTGCCAAATGTAGAGTCATTGTTGAATAGGAGAGTTGTTTTGGTAAAGTAGATTTAATAATAAAGAGAAGTTATGCAGCAAATTATTAATAAGTGTTCTTTAAAAATGTGTACTGATACATGTGGAAGTAAACTGTTAGCATTGGTTATATTCTAGGTAATGTTCCAGTCATACACACACACACACACACACACACATTTAATGAGATAAGAGCAAAGATTGTACCCTATTCTTTTTCCCTGAATAGCTTCTATATTAGCTTTTAAATTCTCTCTTGAAAGAGTGATGTTGTGTCAGTTGAGTCAACATGGCTAAGAGAATAAGGGTACCACACCTAGATGGTAAGTGTTTCTGGTGCTTCCAGCTACCATGTGCTGTAGGAGGAAGTACTGTCAGAGAGGCATTAATGTGTGTCCAGGAGCTTTTGGAATAGGCCTTACTTTTGGACTTGGTTGGAGGAAAGGGCACTTTTTCTTACATTCTAGCATTATGGGAAGTTGCCCAATTTCCTTTGTGGCAGAAATTCAAGCTTATCTACCACTGACTCACGTATCTCCCATTTTCTGATCTTTCATTTGTAGAATGAGGTTAATAATCTATGTTGTTTACTGTCACTGTGATAAGATAGTTCTCAAGCTAGGGTATTTAGAGATCTTGAGCGTCCTTAGTATGGAATTTTTCTTAGAGATCATTTAACATGCTTGGCTGCTAACTGAAAGGAGGCACCTGGGAAGAAAGGCCTGGAGATCTATTTCCAAAATATGAGCCATTGAAAACCCTGTGGAGCACATTTCTCCTCATACCTGTGGGGTTACCATGAGTTGTTGACTCAATAGCAACTAGTTTTATAGAGATTATTAGGAGAATTCTTCAACAGATAAATAGGGGAGTAGAAGTAGAAAGGGACAAACATGTTTATTTAATTGATGGAAAAAAAAAAAACCCACTTTACTTGAAATTTGTTATATACTATTGCAAAAACAGCAAGGAGGCCACGTGTTCTGACCTCCTCTATCCCTACAAGCGAAAGACAGGATTACCGGCAGTAACCCAAGGCCTATTCCTACAAGGCCAGACATGGTGCCTCCCTCCAGCCATTTCACCAACCGTTCCTCCCAAAGCACCTACCACCTCTCCTCTGGGTTTAATAATTCACTGCAGTGGCCACACAGAACTCACGGATTACGGGGTTTATTAGGGAAGCACCAGGCTACAACTCAAGTTCAGGAAAAAATGCCCAGTCTCTCTCCCAGCCCACCATCCCTCAGCCAACAGTCTCTCACAGTCTCTTTCCCAGCCATACTGGTCCCTTGGTGTCTCACTCAGCAATGTGTGTCTCTTGCGTCTCTTTCCCAGCAGCACGTGTCTCAGGAGCCCGTGTCTCTTTCAACAGCCCGTCTTCCTCAACCGGCAGTCAGGGAGAGTTCTGCCTCTAGGAGGCCTCCTTTTGAGCCCGACAGGGTGTTCAAACTAGCCAATTATAGCATCAGAATTCTAAGCACCTGAGAGAGAGTGGGCACCTCCCAGAACATTGTTTTGTGCCACTCCCAACAGAAATACTCCAGGTGGACAACTTCACCAATCAGGAGCTCCTCAGTTGCTCATAGAAAATCCCACCTTGGAGTTTACAAAGACTTATGGGTAGAAAAGCCACATTTTACTACACCACAACTATGTTCTGGGCCAAATATATGTATTATATGAGTTAACTGTATATCAGTCCTATAGATATTATTTTTCCCATTTTCCAGATGAGCAAATTATAACTCACAGGCCCACATAGGCCATTTTATAGAGCAAAATTTGAACCCAGGTTTAACTTACTTTAAAAGTGGAGGAATTTTGTTTTATTGAAGATTGTGATACATATGCAATGAAATGCTTTTCTCTGCTATGTGATAATTCTTAAGAGATTACAGTTGATATCTCAGTTCTAAAATTACTTTTCTGAGCACTAGTGATGTATAGAATGTGTAACTAACATAAAAGTGAAGTAATATATACAGTATTATGGCCTTTTTAAAGATGTGACTTTAGGACATCTAGGAATCATGAAAACTCACAATCATGAAAAGTTCTAGTTCTTTGGCATTTTAATGTAGAAATGATTATCCTATAATTTTGTTGAGTCTCATGGCAGATATTCAGTCTGGCAAATATGACATATACTTTGAAACAGCCACAGGTAATATAGTGCATAATCGAACCACATGTTTAGAACTTGTGTACTTTTAAAATCAGTTACTCAAATCAGGTGTTCAGATTTCTTACCCAGATCTTCATTTGTATCTCCATTATTAGATAGTTGATGTTAAGCAGAAGAAAAACTTCTGACTCCTATTAAACTGGATAATTTGATGAATATGTTTTATTTTATTTTTTTAATGTCTTTATTGGTGTATGGCATTATGTTATAGTTATGTGCAATCAAGTTGACTCATGGAGACCCTATAGGACAGAATAGAACTGCTCTATAGGATTTCCAAGACTGTGACCCACATTGGGTTTCCAAGGCAGTAAGTCTTTATGGAAGTAGACTGCCCCATTTTCCTTCTGTGAAATGGCTGGTGTATTTGAAACACAAATATGATTAGCAGTCAGATGCCTTGGGCACTGTACCACCAGATCTCCTTAATCTGTATAGAAAAGATTGCCATATTTTTCTCCTGCAGACTGGCTGGTAGGTTAGAACCGACCTTTTGGTTAGCAGCAGAGCACTTACCTACTCAGCCAGCAGGGCTCCTTGTAGCATTGAGGGACTAATAATAGTTCACTTACTTGGTTAGTTAGTTGGTTGCTTGATTAATTCTGTGCCTTATTTGAAATGATGCTATGAGTTTAAGATCCTATGAGTCTTAACAGTCCAGGTAGGTAACAAGTTTCTGGACTTTCGTATTATATTTCTTCTAGGTTCCTGTTTTTCTTTTAGATATAAGATACTTTAATACTTTAATAGCTAAATATCCTTCTTGTTGTTTTGTGCCATCGAGTCAGACCCGACTCATATAGCAAACCCTCCTTGGGTTTCCAAGGCTGTATCACTACGGAAGTAGATTGCCCAATCTTCCTTTTGAGGAGTGGCTGGTGGATTTGAACCAACAGCCTTCTGGTTAGCAGTTCAAGTGCCTTAGAAGCCCATGAAGCTGCTAATTCATTAGTTACATTTTTTTAATAATATGACTATCCTTTTTTTTTTTTTTTTTAGAAATCCTTTGTTTTAGGATTCC